CCTGCCCTGGAGGACTTTACCCATAGTGAGGCTAACTGTCCTGTGAAGATAAAATTAAAATGTAATATTGTAAGTGCAACAGCAGGAATTTGTAGAGAGTGTTAGAGATGACTTAGGGAGTGGGATTGGCGTCACAATAATCTGAGAAACTGGATTATCTGAAGAAGAACAAGGCATTAGGATTAGAGGAAGACTCATTAACAACCTACAATATGTAGATGGCACAACCTTGCTTGCTAAAAGTGAAGAGGACTTGAAGGACATGCTGATGAAGATCAGCATAGATTGCACCTCGACATAAAGGAAACAAAAATCCTCACTGTTGTTAAAGTGCTGTCAAGTCATTTCCGAACCATAGTAACCCTGTACAGGGTTTCCAAGGGGTAGCTGGTGAGCTTAAACTGCCAACCTTGCAGTTCAAATGGCTTTGCAATTCTGGTGCATTAACTTACAGCACCACACCAGGACTCACTAGTGGAGCAATAAACAGAATCATGATTAAGAAATCAAATGATGCACTGCATTAAGCCAATCTGCTACAAAACACCACTTTAAAGTCTTGAAAAGCAAAGATACCACTTTGAGCACTAAGGCACAAAAGCTGGACAATGAATAAGGAATACCAAAGAATTGATGAGTTAGAATTATGATATTGGTGAAAATTGCTGAATACACCATGGACTTCTAGCAGAATAAGGAGGTCTGGTGGTAGGACAGTGGGTTAGGTATTAGACTGCTCACCAAAAGTTTGGCAGTTTAAACCCACCAGCTGTTCCACAGGAGAAAGATGTGACTGCCTGCTCCCATAAAAATGTATAGTTCCAGAAACTCTTAGGAGCAGTTATACTCTGTAGGAGTTAACTCAGTGGTAGTGCATTTGGTTTTTTGGTTGGCCAGATGAATGAACAAATCTCTCTTGAAAGAAGTACAGTCAGATGCTCTTTAGATGGCAGGACGGTAGTATTTTATCTCAAGTACTTTGGACATATTATCTGAAGGATTCAGTCTCTAGAGAAGGACATCATGCTGGGAAAGTAGAGGGCCACAGAAAAAGAAGAAAACCATATAGGAGATGGATTGGCACAGTGGCTACAACATTGGGCTTTAACATAGCAAAGATTGTGAGGTAGATGCAGGGTGTGGCTGTGTGTCCTTCTGTTGTACATAGGGTGGCTATGAGTCAAAACTAACAGGAAGACACCTAGCAACAACAACATTGTTTATGGTCACCACAGAAACGCCAAGATCAGCAACTGCTGGTCAGTAACTATCACCTCTATGACAGTCTCCTGATTCTTGCCATTACCTGCTTGTAGGGATACACAGGGCATTTGAATTGCTGATTCAATGACTTTACCCTTTACTGATAGAAGGAAAGGAAAGCAAGAAAATTGAATGCAAAGAAGATACCAAACTCTTATCTTGGCCAGGGATGTTAGCTGATACTCCTCTTCCATTTCCCTCTACTTCCTCTATTCTATAATCACCTTACTTCCTTTTTAAACTCCTGTTGCTAACACATCTAGCAGGAATAGTTCTGATTACATTTCCTCTCCCTTCCCTTCTCCACCCTCTGGTGGAGGGATAATGAATAGCAAAACACACAGAAAAAACAAAGCAACAAAATTTCTGGAATAACAAAACAAAACATAGGTAGAGTTGTTTTCTAAGGGGAAAAATAACTTGGGGCAGTTAATTTAAGGTAACTTAACTACTAGCCCAGCTTTCAAAAAAAAGTATGCAAAATTAAGTCTGAGTAAGATGCTTTTCTTGGTTTTCCAGAAAAGATTAATCAACCCACCCTACTCAAAACCATTCTGCTTCCTTTGCGTTTTTTTTTTTCTTCATTCAAACTGGGACATGGATAAGAGTCCTTTGGGACTATATCTACTAGTGGACCACAGTAGATATAGTCCCAAAGGACTCTTTAACCTCATATGGATGGTAACAGAGTCCCACAGGTAGTCTAGAAATTATAGTGCCACCATCACGACTTAAACTGCCCTATACTTTCTCTGATATTGGATCTAAAGAGAAGGAACTAAAGGTCTAAGCACAATATAATATTATTACTTCTCAGACAAGCCCCACAGCAATATTCCCCATTGGACTATAAGCTATTTGAAAGCCTGGGAGTTTTATCATCTTGGCATTTTCGATGTCCATCTCAGTTCAGAGCATTGAAGAAACATTTAAAGAGTGATCAAATAAACAAGGCAGGACTTCACGGAAACCTATAGACTGGCATATGGTACGAATCAAGTTCAGTAACCCAGATCTCTTCACTTCAAGTTTACTGACCACAGTTGAAATCATTGCCTGTATCACATTCCTTCCTCCCTAATAACCAGTCAACAACACTATTGGGAGTGAAGTCTTAGGTTGTGAAGATAACAATACAGAAACACCACCTTTTGCCTTAGAACATTTCCTCCTATTTTTGTCTTTTATTATCTCATCCTGCCAGTCAACATCTTGACACTAGGATAGCAGTTAACATCTCTCTCCACCAAGCTCTGCTGTAGACAGCTCTCAGCAGTGTGAGTGAATACACATGCCAGCCTTTTATTCTTCTTGATTCTCTAAGTAAGTAATCCTTCTTGAGAAATGGACCCTTTTGAGAGTTTGACAAAAGCTATGGAGTATGACAAAAGCTATACAGCCTCTCCCCAGGAAATAAATTAGTATATTATATGCATGCAACAGATTATGCATAATCTCAGCTGGTTGATACCTTGATACCTATATCCAAGGAGCTCTGGTAGTGTAGTGGTTACGAAATGGGCTGCGAACCGCAAGGTCAGCAGTTCGAAACTACCAGCTGTTCCGTGAGAGAAAGATGAGGCTTTCTTCTCCTGTAAAGATTTACAGCCTCGGAAACTCTGCACAGGGTCTCTATGAGTCAGAACCGACTCCACAGCATATAACAGCAACAACCTATATCCAAATCCTCTCTTAAAAGACCCTGTTGTTGTGTGCTCTCTAGTTGATTTCAAATCATAGTGACCCCATAGGATAGCATAGAATTGAACCATACAGTTTCCTACACTGTAACTTTTACAGTGAACAGATTACTAGGTCTTTTCTCCTGTAGAGTTGACCATGGGTTTGAACCACTGTCCTTCCTTTTAGTAGTTAAACCCTTAACCATGTCCCAGAGTTCCTTCTAAAAGACCCTACATTAAGTCAAATGCAAAAGAATGTCAGGTTAACCTAATTGCTAAATACTACTCAATATTATTCTAGTTCCTCAAGAAGATTTCTTACAGAACTCCAATTCCGTATTCAACAATTAAATTTCAACTCTTTTATGAGGGTAGTGAATAATATAGTAGACAAGATTTTCAATCTTTGTATGATCAAAATATAGAATTGCTATAGTCTCTATCCACTGGACCACTACCGAACACAATCAGCTCCCTTTTGAAGCACTAAATATTTTTCTCCTTAGATGCTTTCCCAAGGCCATACTTGACAAGACCCTAAACACTCATTTCTGGGTCTTCTCAGGTTACATAAAGATCAGTGTATCTATCAGTGGCCAGGAACATGGTCTTTAGGGTCACAAGACTACAATTTGCCTCCTGGATAACCTCTGATAAGTTTCATAATGGGTTTCACCTTTAGTGTCTTCATTCTTAAAGGGAATATAACATAGTACTTTACAGGGTGCCGGCAAGGATTAAATGAGCCAACACACGAAGGGCAATGAGTATATTGCATGGGTCATAGCAAATGCTCAAAAAATAGCAATGATTACTATAATCACCTATAAAATACTTACTGTAGTTCTTGGCATACAATATGTCCTGAATAAATGGAATCTGGTATAACTGCAAATCTCGGAACCTGTATCAATACCATCTTATTTGTGGTCTCAGGATTAGTGAGAATTTTGAATTCTCAGTTCGTATCATTGAGAATCTACCATGTGGGAATTTAAGAAAGAGGTATAGTCCTTGCTTTCAACCATCCACATCTTAGCCGAAGTTACCAAGTCAATTGTTGTTGTTGTTGTTAAGTGCCATTGAGTCCATTTCGACTCATAGCGACCCTGTATAAGGTGTCTGAGGAGCAACTGGTGAGTTTGTACTGCTGATCTTGTGTTCAAACCAACTTTGCAGTCCAGCGCCACACCAGTATTCTTTCAACAAGTCATTTCTATGGTACCAATTGTATCCAATTTCAGGTCTGGTTTTGTTTATGCCTGTTCAGTTTCTTTGTCATGCATTCCTACTGATGCTTAAGCTTGCAGATAAAATGACTCTACCAATTAATTTTTATGCTTTACTCTGACAAAATGAAAATCATACAATCACAAAGGTTTCCTTTTCAGTCTCAGTTGCCAGAAAACTCAGAATGTTACTTGTTACTTGCATTTGGTAATGCATTCATTTCAGATTTATCTATGAGAGATTTATCTATCCTATCACCTTCTTGAGGCCACCATTTTTCTGTTTTATGCTCAAAGGCCATCCTATATCTTTCAATCCTTTCAAGCCATATGGAAATAATCAAAGCACACATTTTTAATAACTGTTGTTGATCTCCAAAAATCACACACATATCTTCTCACCTACCACTTTCTTATCAAGTCACAGGGATGTATTTCCTTTTAATTTTTGGTTCAGGAATGGTTTGAGCATTTTAGACCATAATCATATATCTCTCAGAAGTTTCTTATGTGTGAAACTCTCTTAGCTGATCCTGAAAGCCTTGCCAAAGTACGAGAAGACAAGTCTACCCAACTACCTATCATGCTGACATTTAAAAGTTAGTTGACAGCGAAAAAGCAAATCCATTCCATGAAGCATTGCAGGATGTGAAATACCAACTGCTGGAATAACTCAAACGGCCTTGGAAATTTTTCTTGGAGGGCTCTCTCTTATGAAGACGGATGACAACTCCGTCATTTTTGCAACACCACCACCTACCCACAGGCGTTCTGCTCATTGGTCGATTGCAGAAAAGAAATCTCAGAAATAGAAGCAATTACTTACATCTATAGGTCATCTCAAAGCTGTCGCTGATGTTCACAATATCAATCTGGGGAAGCAGCTTTGGGGGCTCTGTGAGTTGCGACAAAGCAAATCTAAAAGCAGCATGTTCCTGTGACTGCTGGTTTGGAAATAATCCCCCTGTGAGGAAAGGAAATGCAACATGGTATCTGGGCTAGAAACAGGTTTTAGTTCCTCAACAGCCCACACCAGAAGGGCTCCTTTCTTCTGTCCATGTCAAACCCTCTAGTTTATAGCCTTTACTTGAGGGGACGAGAATTCAAATAGACACCACTGGGCACTGAGACTTAAACTTCCACAGATAAACTTTTGATGTGACAAGGGCCTCCAACATCTATCACTCTGCTCGAACATCTGATTGTTCACTCCTCAACTCAGCTCAGGTCAGGGAAAACAGAAGTACCACGTGTCTCTTCTTCCTTTCTTGTGCAAACCACCTAAGTGACCTGTGCTCTCACATGTATGTTGTATCTATTTTGTAAGCTGTTTCTATTTTGTTCTGTTATCAAACCCATTTCTTATCACAGAGCATTATAGAAAGTAGGTGCTAATAAATGTTGCTTTAGTAAATCTAAGTTTGGGACCCTCTGCACTTCTCCAACATTATATCTCTTTGGTTGTTCACTTTGGGTCTTTGGCCTGACAAGACACACATGCAATTTAACTATTCCATTCCATTGCCTCTAAGGTTTCTTACTCATTTCCTCTTTAAACCCTTGATTTTCTGCAAACAGTGATTTGCTTCTTCTTTCACCACTCATTATACCAGCTACCTAGGAATGACTTGTTACATAAGGGATTTTCATTGTTAGTATTTGCATGGGAGGACCCTGTGTTTCAAAAATGTGTGGCTTTAGTAATGTCAAGAGTATAGGAATGTTCCATTCTTGCCAAAAGCACAGAAAAGATGCCTGCTAAATCTCCTGTTCCAAGAAATAAGAGTACGTGGCTTACCTTTGTGTTTACTGTGGACATGCAAATGAATTAGAGTATGTTTCTGGGAATTAAAATCAGCTATTCCCAGAGACTGAAGCATAATGAGTGCTTAGAAAGAAGTTCATCCCAGCTCCAACAGAAATCCTAGCCTCAATGTGATGCACGTCTAACTTCATATACAGTGGGTTCATGTTTGTTTTTAAGAATCAGTAAGTGGATGACAATGCTTTTGTTGGAGATCATACAAGTGGAATCAAATCGTACCTGATGGTTGTGATATTTTTTAGTATTTGTTCTATAATTTCATGGTTCTTTTATTTAAAAAACAAAACAACACTGGTTTTATCAGCTGAACAAGCATGTTGGGGCTAAATTTGATTAAAAATCTGCTGAGATACATGAGTAAACATCCCACATAGACACACACAAAACAGCTCCATATGTTTCTATCTGTGGCAAAATACACAAATATACTTGGAGAAAGCCAAGTTCACACATCTCTACAACAGCATTTGCATTCAGCAAAGTATGGGCAATACAGAAGTACAAACACAACCAAAGCCACACATTAGAACAAGTCATTTACACATGCAGTATACCCCATTTTCAAGAGTAAAAACAGAAAAACAGCAACAACAAAAACAGTGGTTTTGAGTCTCCCAGATGACCACACCCCAAACACTCCCTATCCCCTTTCTCCTCCCCTGCAATGAATGAAAGAGAAGGGATGGGAGGTGGGGAGTTAGAAGGCTGCAGGCTGGACTGAGGGAAGTGTCTCCCATAGGCCACAAGTTCTAGGTGTGAGGCACTAACACCCATCTAGAGACATACTTCAGAATGTGACACACAGTTTAACAGGTGTCAGGGAACAAAGCAAGTTACTCCATGGCTATTCCCACCACCCTGGAGGCCAGCTAGCTGGAGAGGCCAAGAGGAGACTTCCATACTGCAGAGAGCAGGAGCGCAACCAAACACCACCTGTACCACATCCCCCCACAAACACACACTCACATAAAGAACACAAACTCCCAGCAACAGGAACTTTCCCAAGTGGTGCTATCTCTCCATCAGGGTGAAGAAAACAAAAGCCAAACCAACCAAGAAACCACTAAGTAATGCAACTAACTCACTTGATTTGGGACACACACAGCCCTGAAATGCTGCTGGCTACAGTGTAATCCTGAATTCTCCTGCAAATGTGCTGTTATTGCTCTTGTTTGTGATGCATTCCTTCACTTTTATTGGAAATACCCATATCTGTTAATGGATCAACAAAATACATTTGGGGAAGCATAGCAAATGGAAACAGGGAACAGGACACCTTGCAGCATGTTGAAACCTGCCTTAAGTTGATACACTAGTACCCAGTGATGGGGACAGTAAACAGGAGAAAGGAGCATGTGTGTGTGTGTGTGTGTGTGTGTGTGTGTGTTTGTAAGGTAGACAATGTCTATGGACAGAACATTTGGTGGGGGGACAATTGAAGGAATCCAGGGAAGGCAGGCTGAGAAGTTCCAGGACTGTGGGGGGAGGGGGAGGGTCGCCAGCCCAGCAAGGCAGACAGCAAACAGAAGGTAGCTAGGGGAGTCTAGAGCAGGAGACTTTGAGTGGGGGTATCTGGCATTATTTCAGTGGCTTCCCAGCACCCATCATTCTTTAAGAGGGTCTCTTTCTTCTCTCCTCCTTCCCCTTATGCTAAAAGCCATTGTCCCTCTCAATTGAATCTTTCTGTGCATTTAAAAATTAAATCACACACAGAAATACACACATTATACATGTTTATATAAATAAATGAAATTGGGCACCATCTACCTAGCATTGGAGCTAACTCCTTAAACACCCACCTCTCATTTCTTTGCTACAGTCTGATTTTTTTTTTTTTTCTTTAAACTACAAAGCAGCGCTTCCTCCATTTCACATGCTCATGGCTGGAGTGTGAGTGGTTTGTGTGTATGAGTGTATACACATGCTTTCCTTTACCCCTCATCTCATCAAAAGAAACCCCCTCCCCACACGGAGAGCCCAAGTCCTCCTCCCATCACCACACAGCTTCAGATGGCCAAGCACAACAGCTGGAACTTGGGGGGTGGGTAAGGTTTCCTCCCGCTGGCCAGACCCAGAGAGTCCCTCCCCAGGCAGCCCTTCTCACTCACCGATCTGGATATTGTTGGGGAAATTGGCACCTACTACTGTGCCTAGGAAACCGGTGCAGAAGAAGGCAAAAATGTGCTGCATATTCCTTTTTGCATTGGCGAAAAAGAAGCTCAGGTCCAATCATAGATTTCTAGATTTGGTGTTTTCCCCCCACTTCCCTTTATTCCTCTCGCTGTTCTGCCTCTTCTTTTCCTCCAGCAGTTCCTTCCTTCCTTGCTTGCTTGCTTCCTTCTTCTTCTTCTTCGAGGTTTGTCTGTTTCCCCTGGAATCTGAGCACTTTAACTGCAGCGTTAACAGCAAGTGACAGCCAGATTAACTGAGCACGGAAAAGAGAAACCCGTCCTCATGCTAGCTGGAGTGCTTGCTCCCCCTCTCCCTCTCTTGCAGCCTGCTCTCGCTCCCTCCCTTGCTCTCTCTCTCACTCGCTATTCTCCCCCTCACTCTCACACAGGCTGCAAGCTCTATGCTAATACCTATCTAGGAGCTAGCTCCGAGTTCCACTGCTGACCTCCTCTACCTACCACCTCCTGCCTCCAGTCCTTCCTTCATCCTCCTTTCACAGTGTGGGGATGGAAGAGTGGGGAGTGGTAATGTGCAGTTGGTCCTGAAAGGGGTGACCCCGCATGCATTCCCTTCACCCTCCCCGTGACTTCTTCAACTTCTTCCCCCAGACCCCCAGCTAGGCAGATGCTACTGGGTATGTGGGTTCAGCTACAAGTCAGTAGGTGGCAGGGGGTCCCTGCAATAGTCCTGGATCCACCCACTGCCTGAACTAGGTCACTTTTTCTAGGAGTGTACGGACTGTGCTGGATCTGTCTCTTGCACTCCACTGGCCCAGTTATTCCTACAACTAATTCCTGATGGGAAGACCCTAGAAATCCCTCCTAGAAAATTTAAGGGGGAAAAAAAGAGAAGCTTTTTTCTCCCTAAAGGAAAGAATGACAGATACACAGGAGGGTCCAGAATGATTGGCAGTTGCCTACACTTGGATATTTAGCAGACTTGTCTACCTTTACAGTCAGAATTGGTGGTCTCTTTTAAACCCTAGGCATTCAAAAGGGGCCTCCCCTCCTCCTCCCTCCGCATTCCTCAGGCGTCTATAGCATCAAAATCGAGTGGGTGTACAAAAAAGGCTAAGGATACTTACACAGAGCAATTACATGAGTCATTTTGCAGAGATTCTAGTGAGAGGATTCAGGCTTTTTCAGTTGTCTCTGGACTCTGGTCATGTCTAGTGTAAGCTAGAACCCTAAAGACCCTCCTGGATCAGAGCTTTCACTGTAGAGGAACTGTAGAGAGAATCATTCTGTTAAGAAAATGGTGTGGGTCTCCAAGCAGGAGTGATTAGCAGCCACAGAGAGGGTTACAGTTTCTGAAGTAACTTCACAGTATTGCCTCACTCTATCCTCGTACCAGCCCTGTGAAGTGGCTATGGTCCCTACTTAACAGATAAAAAAGTGAGACTCCAGAGATTAGCTCATAAAAAATATAGATTTACCAAGATGGAGCCTGGACCTATGAACTTGCTGTAATACCAACTGACCCATGGCCATGACCAGGTGTCCCACCCAGCATAATCCCGGAAGAGAAAAGCCTACCTTTCCTTCATTTGGAATGAGGAAGAATAGACTTCGCCATATGAATAGGTCATTTGAGCCAGAGACTCCTCTATTTTTTCACCAAGAATGACCCTCAGGGCTGGAGTTTGCAGAAATATCCCACTGTGTTCTATGGAGTCCCCAACTAGGAACATACATGGAGGGTGGAACTTCATCATTTCCTGTGTACTTTCACATATATTAATTAGCTCAAGTGCTTTTTAAAGCTAATCTTTATTCATCATTTACCATGTACCAGATACTAGGCAAGCACAGTACACAATGAATTCATCATACAACAACCCCTGTGGTAGATAATTGCATCCCCATTTATAGCTACAGGAACTGAGGTCTAAGAATTTACCAGAGGTTCCACTGCTAACAAGGAAAACATTGAAGACTTGAACTCTGGAAACTCTGCCATCAGGCCCGAGCTCTTAACTGTTAGTCTCTAATAGCAATGAGAACCAGGCAGGGGCATTCTAGAGAGAGTGTAAGCATCAGTTTGGGAGGGTAAGAGAGAGAATTAGAGAAGATCACCTCTAAGCTCCCTGCCAACATGAAAAGTCTGTGATTCAATGATTCTATCTTATAATATAATTTCCCCATTTGCGTTTTTTGTCTCTTACTATTTTGGATGGTACCTGGGGATCTTTTAAGTTCTCTGAGCTTTGTACCTAGTAATAACAATAATTAGGCTGTCACTGAAGGCTTCACACTTCTCTGTCACCTTTCAGAGGAAGATCTCAAAGCCCTTTACAAGGATTAATTAGCAGAACCCCAAAGCCCACCTAAAATAGGTAAGCATTGTTTTCTTTCTTTGATGGGGAAGTGGCTAAAAGGAGGTACAAAAATGCATTTCTGTGATTCTTATACAGTGAGATGAATCTTCCTAAAATATAGTTCTAACTATGTCACTGCCCTGCTGAAATATATCCAATGGCTCCCATTGGCCTATTAAGTAAATGGTTATTCAATGATTAATTAAACATCAAACTAGCACATTTCAAGCTTGGCCATTTAGGTCATATTACATGTAAGTTCAAATGATATGTGGGCTCAATTGTTTATACTATTGGCTTTCAAAAATTTCAATTTAAATATTGATGAGGAACCTACTCTATATCCAACAATATACCAGGTGCTAGAGGAATACAGAAAGAAATCGGACACAGTCTCTACCCAAAGGCAGAGGAATGTAATAAAAGAGAAAGAGAACACAGCCACTATTAACCAAGGCAGATTGTGACAAATTCTCTAATAGAGATATAAACATGATACAAAGAAAGCAACCAATATGTCTATCTGTGGGAATCAAAGACTTCTACAGAAATGGACTGTAAAGGATGAGAAAACCAGAGACAGAAGGCAAGAGATGGGGAGGATGGTGCATGTTGAGGAAACAGTACCAGCAAGGGCTAGAGGCAGGAAGGACACCTTATGCTTCATGATGAGCCTGGAGTTTCTGGTGTGTGATTGGATAGAGCAGATGGGGGCACATGAATCTTGGAAGGGATCAGGGTCAGGATTTGTAAGCTACTGAATGCCTGATGGGCAGTGAAGACCAATGAGGCATTTTTAGTATGACAGTTACTTGAGCATGTATGTGGTGGTGGTGGTGGTTATGTGCGGTGGAGTGGGTTCCGACTCATAGTGACCCTGCACAGGGTTTCTGAGGCTGTAAATCTTTACGGGAGCAGAAACCCTCATCTTTCTTCTGTGGAACAACTGGTACTTTTGAACCGCTGACCTTGCGGTTCGCAGCCCGATTCGTAACCACTATGCTATGAGAGCTCCTTTGAGCATGTATGTAGGTAAGACGAAAGAGACTGACTGTGGGTGGAAAGTGATTTCCTTTTTACCTCAGCTTCAAAGGTAAGGATTACTTACCTTCGAAGTCTTCCCTTAAATAACCTATTCTGATTCCGTCCTTCATTAGTTTATCATGCTATCTCACTGTCTAGGCCCCTATTGTATTTGTCATACCCCAGTTTTAGAAGACTACCTTGGTTCTTCAGAGTCTGTTGCTAATGTTGATCAAATAATACAACTATGTGATGGCTCAGCTGCTAACCAAAAGGTTGGAGGTTTGAGCCCACTCAGTGGCATCTTGGAAGAAAGTTGTGGAGATTTACTTCTGAATAATTAGCCATGAAAACTCTTATGGAGCACAGTTCTACTCTGACACACATAGAGTGGCCATGAATCAGAGTTGATTTGATGGCTCAGATGGATAAGTGTCTAATGGGAGGGCTCCAGACAGGTGGGCGGAAAAACTCTCCTAAGACTGCTCAAATAGTGCCTCACAGACACATGACACCTACTCCTAAAATCATAGGTGACTTTTCCTGGTTCATGTCTCTGGTGTGCTTTAGTTCCAGTATCATATAGACAAAATATCCTAATATTTATTTTTTTGACTTTGGCTTTACACTAGAAATCAATGATAATGGTGTTGAACTTCAAAAGAATTCCAAAGGAATTGCAAATTCAAATGCTACTTAGACCAACCAGGCAAATGAATGAATTGACCTGAGTTGGGGATTGGAACAGCAATGAGGGCAAAGAGAGCTTGAGTCCATGCCCCAGCACACAGTGGTGGCTTGAAGTCCTCAAATAACAGCCAGTTGTTGTCATGAGGAAATTTAGGCTTGGTGTGACCAGGTTATCTGAAAAATTTTCCCCAAGAGGAAGCAGAAATATGGATTTTGTCTCTTTTAAAATAGTATGTGCCGCTTCATTGCAAGGACTAGAAAAAAGAGAGGTGTATCCGGACCTGATCTGGCCCCTGGTTTAGTGGATGTCAGAAGACAATGGTCCAATCACCTGCCTCAATATCCACTTGGGAAATAAGATATTTTTCTTTTGTTTCTTTATTTGTAAAATGATGAGGCTGGATAAGGTAGTGGCTATAGATGATCCAGGTTTTTATGGTTCTAGCATGCTATGACTGCATTTGATGATAGAGACCAGGGACAGGGAAGGGCAAGAACAATGGATTGGGTCTGGAAGATCTGTGCTTTCCTCCACCTCCTGTTCCTTCTGACTATGCCAGTAAGCAGATCCCTTCACCTCCCTGGGCTGGAGCCTCCATCTGTATGATGCGGGGGTTGCTCCAAGGTCTACTCTAGTTTGAACATTTTAGGTTTCTAGGTGTGAAACAATTAACGGGGAGGGGCAAAGAAAAGAAAACGCATCAAATTAATAAGCTGAGAACAGGTCACCCAGAGCCAACAATTGACAAAAACGCAATCAGAGAGAGAGGGTGCCTCTCTGGCTATAGAAAAGCCCCATTTTTAAAAGATATAGAAAAACCCAATAACAATTATAATATTTTTCATGTTTCTAGCAGAATTCATACAGAAGACTCCCAAAATACTCCATAGACTGTGTGAGTGGTAAGAATGCCACCCCAAAGAATGTAATTACCCACTCTGGAATTCTGCCAGGTTGAACAGCATTTTCTATCTTTTTTTTTTTTTTCTTTCTTTCTTTCAGTTTTTCCTCCCCTTCTCACACAAATGACAGCATTTTCATAAGCCCTCAGCATTACTAGGTAATTAGGGAGCAGTGCAAGTTCTGGAAAACACCCTGGGGCAGGATCAATGCTTGGGAGAAAAAAAAAAAAAGTCTATTCCAGAGGGAAGCTCCTACACAACGCCATCGTTTCTGGTAGAAATCGGAGGCACTGACTGTTCTTTAAACCAGTGGTCTTCAGAAAGACCACCTGGA